AGATTATATGGCTGCCGTTGCAATGCTGGTGGCGGCCTGCTCCGGATCTATCTCTTCCACCTCTTCGGTCTCTTCTGCTTTCTTTGCGGCCTGCTAGAACTGACCAGTTTTATTTCTAATTTTCTTGCTATATTTAGGTAATTACTCAGGAAGCGAATAGGCCTCTGCTATAAAAGCTCTTCTTCGGCTGGATGCTGTGACTTTCAAGGTCTCCAAATACTCAATGTGTCGTCGCATCACCGCCTGTTGATCCTGCCATGCAAGCTGTTTAAAATCATCATCATCATCATACATGCATGCAGTTATTGCTTATATAAGGCTTGAGGGCGTATTATAGGGCTTAGGGTTTAGAGTTTAGGGCTTAGGGTTTAGTGTGTGCAACATGAGTGATCATGCATGTGGGCACATGCATGCCGTCATGTATGTGTGCAACATGAGTGATCATGCATGTGGGCACATGCATGCCGTTGCTTATATATGTGTGCAACATGAGTGATCATGCATGTGGGCAGGCGGGGGGCAGAGGGTCGCAAACTGGCCTCGACGACCGGATCATCCTTTGCAGGCTCCTCCTTAATTTCAGTGCTGTCAGGCGGGGGGCAGAGGGTCGCAAACTGGCCTCGACGACCGGATCATTCTTTGCAGGCTGCTCCTTAGTTTCAGTGCTGTCAGGATTCTAGTGTGCATATACAGCTGGAGGTCAGGACCGGAGGTGGAGAAGAAACCACGGTGAAACCCAAAGTGTCCTTAATGTCTTCAGGTCAACAAATATATAGTTTGGGGAGCACTATATATGTATCAGCAAATATGAATGCCTGCTAAGGCTGCGACGTTTGCCGATGGCGAGGCGGGGTCCTCCTCTCGATGCATGCACGATAGTTTAAAAGCTTTCTCCCTGTGCGTGCCCGTGCCTTCCCCGCGGAGGCTTCTTCATCATCCTGGTCCAGATGCATGCATGACCCGCTTTCCCCAAACTTTGCTTTGGTGTCCTGCCTTCGGCGGCTCCATGGCACCGGACCCGCAAAAAAAAGCCCTATAAAGCCTCAAACCCTGCCAAATTATGGTCTATGGTATACATCCCACGATATGCCTGCAACTGCATGGTTCAATGCACATGACCTGGAGAGCCAAAGCAGCAGTTGACTCAGGAGTCAAACTTGCATGCGTGCACAGACCTCGATCTGCGAAGAATCAGGATGCCAAGGCAACGACAAATCGTCGGCGACAAGGTTCTCGTTAAAGCGACCTCACCAGGGTAATTACAACAAAATGCTACTTTAACCCATGCGTGCATGTGTGCATGAGCCCATGAGTGCCTGACTTCCAACGAACAAGGTGTAAACCTCGATGCATGCTACGTACCCTAACCCATGCGTGCATGCATGCGTGAGCCCATGAGTGCCTGACTTCCAACCTACAAAGTACCTCGATGCATGCTAGTATATATAACCATATTCTGGTAACCCATGCGTGCATGCATGCAAAAAAAAACCTCGATCTCTCAGGGTGCTGCCTCCACAGTTCGATCCTGCTGCGAGCTCGTCCAAAGCAGCATTCGGGACCAAAGGCTGCGAAAAAGGTAAAAACCATCATGCATGTCGATCCATGCATGTGCATGTGTGGAGACATGCGTCTGATTCTTAAGACTAGAATGTTTTCTGCTCTCCTGTTGCATGCGGGCAGACGAAGTACGATCGAATTATGGGCGTGCTGTTTTAGAAGCAACACAAACCCATGCACCGAATTGCAACGAATTGTTCCCGTGCTTTGCAACTGAGGAAACAGCTACCAGGTAGCAAACTTACAAAGTCAGCCGTCTCTTGGATCTCTCGCTGGCACTCATCTTCGAAACCACATCGTACCTTTCCTGGCTTTGCAGCCAACTCTTGGACAACTCGTCCCTGAAGACCTTGCCCATCGGGTCGCAGGCGAACTCGTGCCTTAGAAGGGACGAGTGAATATATAATATCTATACTGTAAACCTTCCAAGCACCGGGCCTAAAGCGGGCTTTATACTCATCGTAGGCTCGGCCGTAGTGACTCTGACCCCTTTTTGCCTTCTCTTGGCCCTTCGTCGGCTTTTCAACCTTGCCTTTCTTGCTCGGGGCCTTGCTCGGCTTAGCCTTCGAGGGCGGCTTGGGCTTCTTCGCTGCAGAGCTCTTAGCAGCGGGAGTCTTCTTGTTCTTTGAGCACTCACGATTTTTCTCGGCCTGCAGGAATGAATGGCTAGCTTGCGTGGGATGCATGCAGGAGTGCGTGATACATGAATGTCCCTGTATATGCATGCATGAGTGCATGCGTGATACATGAATGCATTTTAAATGCTGCCAATGACATGCGTGCCATGCGTGTACACTGTTCTCTAACCTCCAGCTTCTTGGCCAACTTGAGCTGCTTCTGAGCCATGGGGGTGACACGTGGCTTCGTTTCCAAAGATGGCTTCGGCACATCCTCGTACCTTGGAAGATCCCAAAAGAATCTTAAGAAACACAGTTTTTTGGACCTCGGGCTGTGACAGACTGCTGGCCAACTTTTGATCCTGGCCCAGGACGATACTACAAGCCCTATACAGAAAACATGAAGCGACCCAATTTTCGGCAGGCTTTCTTTTTTGGTCGCAATAATTCCTCCACCACTGGCATGCTTCTATGTGCATTCTTACCAGAATACGAACTGCCCACAATCCTCGGTTTCATCGTCCATCTCCTCAGCATCACATATATTCAATAGATAGCCCTCATGCTTATTAATGCTCAAACATCCTACATTGCGGCCAGAAGACCTTCAACAAGGTGTCTACTTCGTCAGCATCCCAACCACGGGGCTGCCACTCCTGAGCATCGCTCACATGCATGTCTTATAAAAATTAATCTGCCCCCTTTGTCTTCGAAGGCCTCCAACCACTCTTCGGCTTCTTCTGCTGTCCATCCCAAATGGTCCTATAATATGCATGCGTGCAAAGTATAGTTATAAACCATGCGTGCATGCATGCTTGGATCCGATCGGTTTATAAATGAAGCAGTCCATCAATGACTGTCGCCACTGCAATGGGGTCCATTCTTCGTCCTCTGCAATTTAAGATCATACTCGGCACAGCTCCTTTGAAAGCAATAGCGTCCTCGGGACACATGTCGCTCGTCCGTTCCTGAACATAGATGCGTGAAAAACTGTGTGTCTGCATGGACATACTACATATATATAATACATTTTTTGCAACGAAGCAGCAGGAGTCGGATCGTACACTTGCGTCTCAAGGCAATCCATGGCTGCAGAAGGCAAACGAGCTGCATCGGGCTGCGGCGATTCAAAGTCCACTGCTATGCTCCTCTTGGCCCTCGCAACCATGTACTTCAGTCGTTTCGACTGACAATCGGTCCAGTTGGCGAAAGATTGCCCAGGTGCCAGAATCGGAACGATCTGCAGCAAATTCAGCAGCTTCCGAACAACGAGTTTACAAAGGCGGGTCGTGAAAAATCGTCCACTGCATTCTGCTGTGAAACGAAAAGCCGCACGAAGCTGAGGCTTCTGAAAAGAGCCGCGTGGGAACATTTCTCCTGTTTTGCCCACAAGCTCTATGTGCTCATCGTCAAAGAGCATCTTCAGTTTCCCGCACACAAACTCACTCCGCTCTTGTCGCTGAGACTTTAAAAAAACTCGCCGGGCAGCCATCTTCGATGGATCAAATATATATATATATATATATATATATATATAATTGCATGGATGCGTATATAGTATATTATCTAATATATGCACGAGCCAAAAAACTCTGCGAAAAAACACACAGGATGCATGCGTGCGACATGCATGCAGCTCGATCCCTCAAATCCCAAACCCTGCATGCATGCATGCGTGCTGGGGGCGGGGAGCACCTTCCGTATCCTCGCGTCTCGTGTAGCTTCTTTTCATCGCTCACCTGGGACCAGCATGTTGGAATTAAATCGGTCAGGGTCGTGAAAATGCCTAGAATACTTGGACTCGCAGGCATTTTTGAGCGAGCACAAATGATCCGATAGATCCAGGGCGGCCCTCGAGATCTTAAGTTGAAGATCAGGAGCCGGTGGCCTCTTAACCGGCAGCCAGTACGTCACCAGCCGCAAAATGCATTGCAATCGAATTAATGTGCATGCTCCTGGCTCATGACAGCCATCTAGCTCATGGAGTCCGGGATCTCTTGCGCTTTCGGGGCGATGATGCCGGGGATGTAGCAGCAGGCTGGTCTTCATTCTGCTTCGTCTTGGCCTTCTCTTCTAGCCATTCTTTGCTAGCCTTGAACCACTTCCACCACCAAACATCGCCTGTCTTCTTCCACGCCCACCGCCATTCCCACGATCCTGCGGGCGAGCGGCTCCGATCCGTCCCATCCATTTTAACTATAGGCTTTGGTCCTAGCTGCACCTGGCGCCAAATGGCTATATATAGCAGTCGTGGACATTAACAGATTCAAAACCATGGTGAAACTGCAGCGGGTCCATGCATGCATTATAACAAAACGCATCTGAGGCCAGAGCCGTCATGAGTGCATTGCGAAAAGACATGAATGCCGTCATGAGTGCATTGCGAAAAGACATGAATGCCGTCATGAGTGCCACTGTAAAAAAAAACCGTTTCAGGTTTCGGGCTGCTGCTTCATGCGTGCTGTTTAAACGATTATATTCGAGCCGAAATTCTACGGTACGTCGCGTCTGTGCATCTCACGAGCAGCAGAAAAACTGACGTGCATGCATGCCAGTCCGTCGAAATCCGAGACGATCGCCAAAAAACATCTGTCGAAACGGAAAAAAACGAAGTTGACAACAGAACTACCTGCATGCAGTCTGGAAATATACGAGTCGATCGCCAAAAAACATCTGTCGAAACGGAAACAAACGAAATTGATATATATTGGTTCCGCCTTTTAGCCAAAATGCGCTCTATAAGGGCGCCCCTTAAGTGCGCCCCTTGACGTCGACTGACCTTTCTTGGTTAAACCCCGACGATACAAGCCCTGAGTGCCGGACACAGGGAATGCCGCCTCGCAAAGCCTGCAACAAGGGCACCCTGGAAATTATGGCTTCCTCCACAAGACCTTTACAACAGTAGTTTAGCCAAGGGTTTAATTTTGCCTTGAAGCTGCGAGTTCAGTTCGAAGAGCAGTTAGTCAGTTCAATTTGCGGTTTAAGGAATTTAGCAGAGCTCCGAAGACTTACCAAAGGGGCCTAAGTCAAGATGAGCCCTTCTAAAGGCTTCGTCGAAACTTGGACCTTGGACCCCTTCTGCTCACGAACATCTTGTCTACTTCGCGACAGCAGTGAGGTTCACAGCCCCGCATCCGAGAGATCGCAAGCCTACTTGGAGGTTCATGGGTAGTGATAAGTGGGGTTATAAGTCCGCTAATATAACTACCCATGAACCTCCAAGTAGGGCCCAGAAGAAGGAATGGTTTGGGGCTTTTGCCACTCGCAACTCGGCAACCAGAAGTGAATTTGGTTTAGGCTGCTTTTTGCCACTCGCACCTCGGCAAAAGGTCTTGGGTTCAATTTAGATTTGCTATCAGGGTTTTTAAGTTTTATATAGAGACAGAGGGAGACACAAAGAGAGAGAGAGAGAGAGAGAGAGCAAAGACGACCGAACGAAAACCGTGGTACGGGTGTGCAGAGCTCAGGAGACTGGCCGGATACAGGAACCAGCACTTCCAAATGGTGGGGCAAAGGTCCGGCATGTGGGTTGAGGGCTTAAAGCATAAGGTAGTTTAAGGCTTAAGGTCTACAGTAGTAGCATCCGACAGACGAGCGCCCAGAAAGAACTCACAGGGCTATTGTGGTGCGGAGTACTGTCCATAGCTGACATATCGCTTGTGCTTGCTTCTTCTAGCGGAGCATAGCCTGTCCCATTCGTCAGGTGCCACTGCTCTATGCAGGAGAGGAAGCTTTACAGAAATCGGTACTCCAAAACGAAAGAATGGTACGAAGTCCTGCGCACAGGAGGGCTAAATGCCAACTGGGACCCAAAACTTGAAACCCTCAGATGCAACCCAGCAACTTCAAAGCGAAGTTGCTTCCCATATCTCCGTAGGCGGGCATGGTGTAAAGTTATGAACACTTCCTCTTGTATTGAAAAGCCCAAAGATGTGTCACAACGGCCACGGACTCGTCCACTAGCTGAGTGGGGAGGTTTGCTTTCAAGCCAGACTAACCGAATTCCTGATGAATGAGCGGCGCGGCGCGCTGTTTTACGAACTGCACTCACCTGCTCTCAACAGACCCAGCCCTCAAAGCGTGTGCACCTGCATTTCAACCATCCTCTCCCGTGTGCGCAATCCAGAGCAGCCGCAGTCGGTCTCAAAGGATGGAGGCATCTTTGGGGCTCATATAAGGGCATGAGGGCCTCAATAGCTAGAATAGGGTTTTGGGGTATATTGTACTATACTTATGATAAGAAACCCCCAAAATAATCTTGGGAATTATTTCGGCCCCTATATTATTACAGACTGAGGATGAACAGGACTTGCAGGGTTCCAGACTTGATGTGCGGGTAAACTTCTAGCATGGAACCTTGATGCAAGGCTGCCTTAAGGACGAAATGAACCCTAAAACGGTTTAAAGTTCATATACCCATACAGGGAGTCATAGTTTCTGGGTATAGGGCCCCTACTTTTAAGGGTCATTTGGTCCTTCAGGCGCACTTACGTCACGCAACCCACCCAGTCTGCAGCTCGTGAACGATCGGCTCAAACCCTCAACGCCTGCAGCCTGAGCAGAGCGATATGGGATAGAAACACAGGAACCCCAGAATGCTGAACACGGAGAAGCAGAACACCGCAAGCCCGACAACGAAAATGTCTTAAACCCGGAACCCTCAAACTAAGGCTCAAACCTACTTGAAACCCACAGTCCATCCGAAACCCACAGTCCTACAACCCGACCAACATCCTGCGAGCGGGATGAATGAAGACCTGCATATGCGGGGCTTCTGCAAGTAGTGGTTCCCTCTCAGGGGCCTCTGCGAAAATATTCAGGTCTCTTTGAGTCCCCCCTAAGTAATTCTGTCGTACCCCTATCCTTGTGTTTGCAGGGTCTGAGGGGGCCACCCAGTGGGTCCAGTGCCGCCTCAGAGAGCAGTGGCCAGTGGTTGGGTGGGGCTCAGGGTTCTGATAACTGAGGGTGGTCACATTGAAGATGTGATGAGGAAAGGGATGGCACTGACTCGGATGCAAATGATCATTTCTGATTCGAAGCATCTTCCACCCTCGCTTGCCTACTACATGCAAAATGCTACCTCTATCTACTGAGACCTACGGCCACTGCTGCTACTACGACGACGGACTACGCCTTCCGACGGCGAGATCCACTTCGGAATAAAAGAGGGCCAAGGGCCCTTTCCGAAGTCCCGAAAATCACGGAAGTGACCCCTCATGTTTGCATCTAAGGCCTCTATAAAGGGCACTTGGTAGACCTGGTAGATCCTGGTAAATGCCAAACCCTAAATCATCATAGCCTCCGTTATTCGATGCAGGTTTGGCTGAGGCAAAGCGCCACTGGCAATTCACCGGAGCTTCTGCCAAAGTGCAGGGCATCAAGCCACATGGCCTCACAAGTTGTGAAAGGGTTCTCAGGGCTGGAGGATCAAGGGAGTCAGGGCTTCGGATGCTGGTATGGACACACCATAAAATGGAAAGCACATGCTACTCGATACCACCCACCGACCCACCCACCCACCCACCCACCCACGCAAAACAAAGTCGACTCTCAGGAGGCAGCTAAGTTAAGGCGGTGTGCCTTAACGATTAGAAGGCGGTTTTGGGGCATATTGTTTGCTATGCTATTGTAAGGACTAGAGAAGTGCGTTGTTGATCATGTTTGGTTGTCGACGGAGGATGTCGGGCTCAGGGACATCTTAACAAACTTGTATTTGGATCTTGGAAGTCCACTCCCAAGTACACTCCTCTTTCAATCGCAAGGAAAACAACTGTTCGTCCCTATGCCTTGATTTTCGCCAAGGCCGCCATTGAGGAAGGTAACAAGGTATATGACGGTATGTGATAAACTGAGCTTAAGCTTGCCGGATAAGGCAGATAAAGCGATTGCAGCAAGGCCTGCCTGATCTCCCTCTGCCGACCGGTGCACTGTACCTGCAGAGCTGACCTTGTTGGGTCCCAGCGGCATTTTGCAGAAGTATCACAACCGGCACATCACATCGTGGTGAGCTAATCATTGCAGTTCCGTCTGCCTTTAAGCCGTACACCTCAAGTTTCTCTTCGGCCACGTGCGGAAAGCTCCAAGCACTCGAGGCATGGAGGGGTCGCGCTTGATGCGTATAGAAAACAGGGTTTGCAAGATGAAAACAGATCACAACACACCTGGATTTTGACCAGGTTACTAGTACTAATGCCTTACTGACATGAGCAATCCAAGACATATCTGGTGCTTGCTGTCACCGAGCACTGCAAGGTCGTCTGTATGTGTGCATGTATAATACGTCTATGTATGAACATCATACATATATATATATATATATATATATGTACATGGGTGGTTGTGAAAATTAGGGTCCCTTCCTGGGCCCCTATTACAATACGGCACCTAATATTTAGGATACCCCTAAAAGGGACCATAATTTTGACAACTAGCCACATATATATATATATATATATATATATATACACATATTTACAAACAAAAATGCGTATGTATATAAACATGAATGCAAACAGATAACGTATGTGTATACGTTTGTTGTTGCAGTAAATCCGTTATTGACTTTTGACAACTGGTTTGTTTATGTAGTTGTGTATTAGTATTTACCTAAGCTCTTGTTGCTTTTTGTTTTCTTCGCATGTCCATATTGTGTATCCGTTTACTGTGCATTTATTTGTTTCCATTATGGTGGTTTATTGTTTAGTATTACTACATTATGTATTTCTTCGATTCTTGTGTATATAATGCTACGAAACAGGAGGCTGGGCCTGAGCGGAAACAACTGGGGTTCGGCCCGGTACTGATACTCAAGAGCAGACACTGCCACAGCATTGCCAGCTCTATACATAGAGCTTACACACGCTGCAAATCCACGGGATAACCCCGGATTCTGAGGCCGGTGCAATCTGCGGGAGGGCACCAATCCCAGCTCCTGCTCGAATCGAGAAATCGTGCATGCAATACATTGCATGGCCAGTAAGGTGTGCAAGGTTTAGGGCTTGTTTAGGGTTTGGGGAGCTGCTGCTTGCAACCTGTTCTATGAATATAGGCTTCACCTGCTATGATCATATGACTGAACAACATCTCAACAATCGAAATCCCTACGAATAGCACATAGGCTTTAGACTGCAACACTCACACAACAATACACATACCGATGCGTATAGATCCATCCATCCCTCCGTCCCTGCATGCAGGCACAAGTTCTGTTGAGTTCTGTGCGGTGAGCCCATGAGCCATTGTTGTACATTCCCGTATATATATATATATATACACACACACACACACTTAGTGCTATGGATAGCGCCTGAAGCGCACACACACACAAACACAACTGCACAATTTATTTGTACACATGCCATCATGTATGTTACCAGTTTAAACGTACTGCATGCTTTGCATGCTTCTCGTCGTCTTGACAAGGTGAATCATAGTGATTCCACTCCGCAGCCTTGGCCGCGTCGGGGGAATGCCAAGTCTTCTGTCGGTTTCGCGTCTGCTGGCCGCTGCCACAGGACCTGCAGATAGCCGATTACAGAAAATCATGATTTCTTTTCCTACACTATAATTATAGTAGGTCATAGTATGTTACAGTAGCTTTTGAGGCAGTTGCAGAGGGCTTGGGGTGTAGGGCCGCGAGTCTAGGGTGTTGTGGTCTTGCGCACATCTGTGTATACATGTGCATGTATGTGTGCATATGTATGTGTGCGTGCATTTAAGTATGTGTGCATGTCTGGTGTATTCAGGGTTCGAGTGCAGGACTGGAACTAGCCGCGGCCAGCAATTAAGTGGCGAGTCGCCTGGAGCACTGGCCGTAGGTTTCCCAATCTGACCAAGCACAAACCTCAGCCAACAGCAAAACGAAGGACATGTCTGATGCAAGCGAGCCACCTTTTGAGGCACGGACTGATGGCCAACAAACATACACGATGTGTGCGCTTTTAGATTCTTTACGACGGTCTACCTTCTGTCAATTTCACATCATGTTGGAACATGCTCCTACTACTACTACTACTACTGCTACTACTACTACTACTACTACCACTACTACGACGACTACTACTACTGCTACTACTACTGCTACTACTACGACGACTTGTTGAGACCAAGGCCTCCGTCATTGTCCAACAGCTCGCCGTGTTGCAAGGTTCAGCTTCCAGGGAGCTGCTGGCCTGGAGCTACCGAGGCTGCTGCAACTGGGTGCATGTCAGAGTGATCCTAAGAATTACAATAAATACCCATATAGTAGTTCCTTTTTGGGATTACCTTATAGGATTCTACATATGAACCCACAAAAGGAACTACTATGGGGCCTATGGGTATAGCCAATAACCAAAAACCGTAACATGTTTCAGGGTGCCTACCACGGCTGCAACAATAACAACTTCAACGCCTAAACCCGACTATCGACCCTAAGGTTCTTTCTCATCATGGCAACACCCTGCTGCCCCAAGGATAATACTCCCTTCTAACGTACATCTCCTCTAGACCGGTTTCATATACTCAATCGACCTTAGGGAAAATTATTAGGGTAACAATGTCAACAAATGCCACCCATCACTTCTGCAGAAAGCCTTGTCCTGAACCCTCAAAACCCTTCAACCCCACCCTCCACCCCTTGCAACCCCCCCCCTCCCCCCCCTCCCCCCTCCCCAGCAAGACAGATGCGACCTCGCAGGCCCGCCCGTGGCCCGAAGCTTCTGCAGCGATGCTACGACGACCTGGCGCCCAGGTGAGACGTCAGGTTCAAGGTGGGGAATCTCCGTTTTAGGGGAAGAGGTTTAGGGACTGTGGGACTCTAGGGTTCAGGGATTCGAAGACTCTGTGAGTGAGTGAAATTCCCGCAACCTGAAAACCATTGCGCAGCACACTGACGCTCGTAGTACATGCCGGTGATTCGGGTCCTTTCTCCGCCGTCGCAGCTCCTAAATTCCATGTCGAGCAATGAGGGCCGTACGAAACCGACGGCACGCGCAATAGCTAAGAGCCGGTCCGACTGCACGCTCCCCACGCCTTGCCAAGGGCTCAAGCCACGTCCAAAAAAAAGGCTGACCGCTGGAACGCTACACTCCACCCTACATGCTCACTACACCGTATGAGTGTGCCCTGAATCCTTTTGCATCCAAGCCTCTTGAAGTCTTGCCGCGGAACGGCGAATGCTGTAGCACTCGTGGCTACACACTCACAGTGACCACTTCAGGGCACCCTAAACCCCTAAACCCTAAGCCACAAAACCCCTAAACCCTAAACCCCTAAACCCTAAACCCCTAAACCCTAAACCCCTAAACCCCTAAACCCCTAAGCCACAAAAACCCTAAAACCTTCTCGCAGGAAGTGCCGGGCCTCCCAAGCTTGCCAATGGCAGTCGTGCCGGCCTTGTTCTCCCAAGCAGATCTGCGTGTTGCCTCAGACTGGTTTTGGACTCTGGGTTTATACCCTTTTTGCATCGGGCCTTTACCACCGCCGAATGGGTTTATACCTTTTTTTGCATCGGGCCTTTGGGTTCATACCCTAAGCCGTAAACCCTAAACTTATAGGGTTGGGGGATGTTGAGGGCTTAGGGCTTTTGGGGCTAAGGTTCAAGGCAGTCGGGCTGAAACATGCTTTAGTGGATTGCCGCAACCCTGTCGACATGAGGGTCCGTGTGCTCCTTTTCGCCATCATTTTTGCTTATTCTAGCTATTTTGCTGCCGGTAGTAGCGATAAGGAGGATTAAGGACGAAGGTGGAGGAGTATACACTACATTGCTATGTGGGCACATGGACCCTCAGAAAAAAACCAATGCCCACAGAAGCCCGGTTGCCCATACGGGTGGTTGTCAAAATTAGGGTCCCTTTTTGGGCCCTTAATATAATACAGGGTACCCAGAAAGGGAGCCTAGTTTTGACAACCACCCATGATACATTATTGTACTGTGTTGACGCAATGACCACATCCTTTGATCTGGGTAACTGGGCTTCTTCTAGGACTGAGTTGCAAGCACCAGCAGAACTAGGTGAGAGGCAATGCTGTGTCTGTGACAAGGCTGCTTCGCAAGGCTTGCCCATGTTCGCGGGATAAGCCTTCACAGGTCAGGGACAAGTCAGGCACTTTATAAATGCATCAACGCCGATTATATATATATATATATATCACCATGACTCGATTCTGATCTGGTATTGATTGTTACGACATTAGTCTCCACGGTTCTGTCCAACTCGCTCGTGCTCTCTCAGCGCGCCTTGATTTGCCGGTGTCCTCAGTCGACACACAGTGCTCACGAACTCTTGCTGACGCAACTTTGTTCGCAGCGGATCCAAGAACCAGGTATGTAAGGTTACGGCTTTACCCTAAGGCCCCAAAGTAGTTCCTTTTTGGGATTACCTTATAGGATTCTATTATATATACGAAACCCCCAAAAGGAACTACTTTGGGGCCTTAGGGTATTCGGCTTCGACTTAGTAGCCGGTGTTTACAGGCTCCTACACCATCCCTCCATAAAGAGATCCCCAGTTCCAGGACCGCTGAGACAGCTTCCCGGCTTGCCCAAACTATACTGAACTTAGAACCCTAGCAAAACTTGTAATTTTAGCTGTTTCTTAGGGATTATGATAACCAAAAGTTAAGAACTATTTCTAAGTACCCCTAGGCAAAAACTTTGCCAGATATTCCTTAGAAGCTGCCCCCACCCTGTAATAGTGACTGTAAGGATTATATTAGGGCCCCATTATATTCCTATTATACCACTATTACAGGGTGGGGGCCCCTTCTAAGATATTCCCAAAACCCTCCCCACCCATCCCGAAGCTCTCTCATATGGGTAGTTGTCAAAATCATGGTGCCTTTTTGGGTGCCCTAAATATTAGGTGCCATAGTATCCTAAGGACAAAAAAGGGACCATAATTGACAACCACCCATATAAACTGCCGATAGTAACTCGTGCCGTATAGTAACCGTAAACCCGAACACGGCTTGAGGCAGGATGCGAGCCCGTTGTCCGCCGTCGCAATCATGGGAGCAATGCGACCAGGAACTGCAGCCGGACTCGACAGCTTAGGGCTTAAGATGTACCAGTTCTCAGAAGAAGGCTGTCAGAAGAGCGGCCCAGAATGAGCCCTGAGCTATGTGCTATTTAACTGTAACATACTGTCCCAAAGGGTAGTATGTATTGTTATGGGGGATACTTCCCTGGATCGTAATAGTAAGTTCGAATATAGAAACCCTACATTCTACTATACAGGTACATAGGACCCTTTGGGTGCAACATCACGGAGACTTTCTTTCAAACCCTTTTAAGGATAGTAGGGGCCCTTAAAGGTACGCTTTAAGGATAATCTAGGGGCCGTCTGCTAGCCTGTCAAAAGACACTACCCTAAGGCCCCAAAGTAGTTCCTTTTGGGTCCGGAATTATTTGAGGATTTTTTTTGTTTTATTTGGGGTATTTTTTTTGTTTTTAGCTTTTGCTTGGGAAAGGGGGGGCAGGGAGGGAGGGAGGGAGGGGGGAGGGGAGGGAGGGAGGGAGGGAGGGGTGGAAGGGGGAGGGAGGACAGGGAGGGAGAGGGAGAAGGAGAGGGAGAGGGAGAGGGAGAGGGGAGATGGGAGAGGGGAGAGGGGAGAGGGAAGAGGGAAGAGGGAGAGGGAAGGCAGAGGGAGGGCGGCGAGGGCGAGGGCGAGGGAGAGGGAAAGAGGAAGAGGGAGAGCGAGAGAAAGGGAGGAAATGGGGGGAAAGGAAAGCAGGGAGGAAGGGAAGAAGAAGGCAAGGGCGCCAAAAAAGAAGAAGGCAAAAACGCAAGCAAACGAACAAACAAGCAAGCAACCAAGAACTCGAGGAAACAAAGGGAAGAAATATATAAGGAAAGTCAATAAGCACAAAGCAGCAGCAACACAAGGAATAACGGCAAACAGAATAGATATGTAGATGTGCCTGTGTGTATGCGTGTATATACCTCTACTCCGGTCAGACACCTGAAAGGTGAGCCGGCACTTACAAGGAATAGCGGATTAAAAAAACAGATATGTATATGTGCATATGTGTATGCATCTATACTCCTCTACTCCGGTCAAGTACTTGAAATTCCAGTCAGATACCTGCAAGGTGAGCCGGCGCACACAAGGAATAGCGTCTTTTCGACAGATATGTATATGTGCATATGTGTCTGCGTCCATACTCCTCTACCCCTGTCAGGTAGTTGAAAAGTGAGCCGTTCTCGCCCAAGGGCCCTTATCAACGGAGAGCCAAGGCTTGCGGTATGAATGTATACAAGGACAAGTTAAAATCTATATGCCCTGTTGATTGAACTTCGCTGGAGAGGTCTGCAAATCTCCTTCCGCGGCCTTCGCGTGATCTTCACCTTTGCGCCACGAGATCTCAGTCTGACGTCCATGGTCCAACTCCTTGGAAGGCTGTCGTGGTCTCCGGCTGAGCTTTTTCGGATGAATGAAAGTCCAACGTCAAATCCCTGATGCTGATGAAATACACCCTCTCGAACATGAAACCTCGATCAGATCGAAGCGCGATGGGGAAAACGTAAGCGGATGCCGGCGCATTGGGGGCTGGCATCTCCTGGAGCTGTGCCTGTGGGGTTGAAGGGCCGCGTTTTGAGTCTTGGGTGTAGAAAGTCTGGAGATCGAAGGTTCATTGAGGGTTCAGGATGCCGGCGCTCGCGATGTGACGGTAGGGGTATTGAACTTCGAATGTCCTCAAGACGAAGTCCCAAGAATCCTTACGCTTGTGGCGATTTCAGATGAGTTCCAGCACAAACATTACAGTTGCACCTGCTCAGCGCGTGGCAGCACGGGAGCGTCGGCGAGTGCCGCCTGGCCCTCTGCAGCTTTTGCCTGGATGTGAGCCCGATAAGGGGGATAGACCCTTGCTACGGGGGCGTAACAGACATGCTGCATGAACGGCCCTGGATACATGGCCCGGCCTGGGCAGCGTTTTCTTGGCCGCCTGAAAGGCCTCTTGTGTGGCCTGCACTTTGTCCTTTTTCAGGACTCTGCGCAGGAAAGCCTTCCTGTCGCACAGCTTGCACAGCTTCTTGCCGGCCATGGCCAAACCCAACAGCAGTAAACTACAGCAAGAACAGACGTTGCAGCCAGAGCTCCTAAGCCACGTGACCTTGCATCCCTTTAGGCTTTGGTGTTTCGGGTGCTTCGCTGTGCCTCCAGAATCTCTGTTTCCTCTTTTTGTTCAGCTGTCTAGACTTTGCCCAGGAAGTCTCCTTGTGACGCAAACTTTGCGGACATGCCCTCAGTGATCACATTCTGCAAGCAAGATGCCAAGACAGGATCAATCAAGCGGTCTCTGCTCCTCCACTTCCAAATCATCGCACCAGCCCTACTCTCAGAATAAAACATCTACGACTACTCTACAAACCTAGCACTACTGTTTCCAAGAGGACAAAACATTGCTGACCAAGACTGTTGGCATACTGGTACTGCCGTGCTGGTAGTGGCGGTTTGGCGAATATTCGAAAACCGAATGACGTCGTGCTACTTACCACTTCTGCTACTGCTGCTACTACTACAACTACTGCTACTACTACTTGCGTGGGGATTTGATCTTGATGATGTTTCTTGTCGCTCACCCCACCGAGCTATGTTGGGTAATGATGTGGTTGCCCTCTACAGACTCGATCACTTTCTCTCTCTCCCACGTGTCAGCTTCACTCCCTGTGCAGGCAGATCCAGAGCTCGCTTGTTTTGCAGCTTCGCGGCCAGCGATGGATCGTCGTTTTATTAAACGGATGAGGGGATTTCATACATACATAAAAAGTACATACATATATAACTCACCACAGACACACATGCACATACACATGCGGCTTCGCGCGAAGCGAAGCGCATGCCGGCTGCTGGCGTGGCTTCGCACGTGCTTTGCGCGGCTCGCGCCGGCTTCACGAGAGCTGCTTCGCGTGACTTGGCGCATGCCTCGCGCGTGCATCTGGGTATGTTTCGTGCGGCTTCGCGCCCCAGACGCCGGCTTGCGCACCTGCGAGCGCGCACCTTCGCGCGCGGCTTCGCACGGCTTCACGCAGCTTCGCGCGCTTCGCGCGCGGGCTGCTTCGCGTGGCTTCGTGCGTGCACCTGCGCGCGCTCTGCGTGCGCACACCTGCGCGCGCGGCTTCGCGTGGCTTCGCGCGTGCCCCTGCGCGCGCTCGGTTTCGCGCGGCTTCAGGCGGCTTCGTGCGCTTCGCGTGGCTTCGCGCGGGCAACAGACAGCAACAGCAAAAAACACAAAAAACAAAAAGTAAAGAGAGCAGGAAGCAGCAGAAAGCGGAGCGCAAAGCAAAAGCAGAAAACAAAAAGCAACAAGCAAAAAACAAAAACAACAGAAGACAGAAACAAACACGCACAAAAACAAAAAAAACTACCAAAAAAAACAAAATACATTCCTCAAATAATTAGGATTCCGTTCCTTTTTGGGATTACCTTATAGGATTCTATATTCTATATACGAACCCCCCCCAAAGGAACTAGTTTGGGGCTTTGGGGCCTTAGGGTAGATATCATCCCTATGCCTCCAGGGACCTTATTATGGGGTCCTTATGGGTCTAGAACCCTAGCTATGAGGTCCTTGGAGGGATAGTTATAGTATCCCCTTAAGGAACCCTTTAAAGGGAACCCTTTAAAGGGAACCCCAAAAGAGCTACTTTGGGGCCCTGAGGGTAACTGCTGGGAGGTGCCTCCACTGGCCGAGCACGCAGTCCTTCGGAGCTTCCACTCGACATGTCGCGCTGCCCAAGTTGCATCCCCTGCGCGTCGCAGGGTTTAGGGTTTAGGGCTTATAGGGGGTATACCTCAACCCGGAAGAACCTACATTTTTAAGGACTTATATAAGAAAATCATAATAAGGAACCCTAAAAAGGTAGGTTGTTCAGGGTGAAGGTAGGGTTTAGGGTCGCAGTCGGTGCAACCAGCAGCCCATGCGATACCTATAGTCTCCATATGTCTCCATTGTAGTTTTCGCTATCCGAACTTACATAACAGGGTCTTCACCATAAAGCTGCTCAACCAAAAAGGGGGGCTACAATGGAGACTATAGGTAGGGTTACCACGGATGTGGTAGACGTGGGTCTTGAAAGCATGTGTGCATTCTTTTAACAACCGCGAACATGTTGCACAAAGCTGGTCCGCCTTGCGGCTTAACAACCGTCCCAAAGGGTCCAAGAGACAGATTTGCGTGTAGCTTAGGGGCCCAAATAGCTACTACTTAAGAACCTACTATATTGGTACTTGGACCCTTTGGGCATCTGACAAACGTGAGCCGTCGACATTTGTCACAAATCCAGCTCGTCTGGAGGAACCGCGCCCCAACCTGCAAAAAACAGCTTGGGCACAGGTGACTGTCGACTCTGATATGTGTTCTCTCAACTGAGCTTTGCATCCACGCCTGTCACTGCCGGGCTGGTAAGAAAGAGTTGAGAGTTAACAACGTTAACAAACCTTGGAACATGTTGAAGCCTTGTGTTAAGCCTGCAAAGCTTGCCACTGCTCCAACCTCCAGCCTTCAAAGACCACATAAACGAACACAAACCTGATCCTTTCCATGCCTTGATCACCCTGCACAAGATCTGCGAAACCCTACGTTACGAAACCTGCTTCTGATTTTTTCTGAATTGCCCAGACATCTCTCAAACCAGTATCCCTAATCTGAAGCTTAATCTAAGAAGCGTTGTGAACATATGCTATGCTTGCAAATGTTCCTGGAGTTTTTACAAGAGCACTATACATCATATAGGGGTCCAAGTAATTGCTACCTATACTATTTTGGTGGTTCCGTACTATACTTATAGTACTGTGGGCCCAGAACCCTAGTCTAATCAAGGCCCCTCTACCATGGTACCCTTATAGCTCCTTTACAGTATCCCTTTAAAGGAACCCTATTCTACCTATTAAGGCCCCTATACTATAGTCCTGTAAATCCCTTGTAGTAACCCTTATATAGAGCCCTTTAAAAAGGGAGCCCTATTTGAGACAATGTTGCGGCGTCACGGCAATGACATGGTCTACGAGCTTGAACAGTTTGTCAATGGATGTCAACTGGAAGGAATCAATTCTAACTACCTATACTATAGTACCCTACTGTAAATCTTTTATAGTAACCCTTATATAGACCCCTTTATAGGGAAGCCTATTCTAACTACTAAAGTATCAAGCGGAACCGACCTGCCGATCGTCCGCCCTCGAAATCTGCGTAGCGCACGGCGAGCATGCGGCCCGGGAGTTGGTCCTCACTTGGCGATCTGTACCCAAAGTGTCCTACCCAGAGACTCCAATACCCCTTAATTAAGGAATATACCTTAAATTATAGTAGGATCCCTTATATGATTTAAGGAATATTCCTTAATTAAGGGGTATTGGAGTCTCTGGGTATGTACCTGTATAGTTGAATGTAGGGTTTCTATATTCGGAGTTACTACTAGGATCCAGGGAAGTATCCCCCATAACAATACATAGGGCCCTTTGGGTTAGGCTGTAGTACGGGTGATGATAGAAATCCTGCATGACCCATTATAAAGAATATACATTAGTTCCCATAGCTTAAGATCCTTAAGGTAATGCAGGATTTATATCATCAACCGTAGGGCTGAGTGTTTAGGGTTCATCTTTTAAGGTTTAAAGCTTAGGGCTTATAATGTTTAGGGTTACAAAAATGTTTTTTTGTGTTTAGGGTTTATAGTATAAGGGTTAGGAGTGAAAATTAACACTCGTTGCGTGTCTATGCGGAGCTCGTGTTTTGTGCTCATTTTTTGCCTCCTGCATAAGACTGCGCGAGATAATCCAAGCAGAGTTGTGCTGCTGAGTTGTTTGGCGTGCCGCACCTTCCCTAAGGAAGAAAAAGACCCTAAAAGGGTTTAGGGTTCCTGTACCTTATTGGGGATTCATAGCAGCATATTAGTATAGGGCCCCTACTTTTACGTGTCATTTGGTCCTCAAGGTTGGTGAACCTCGCCACGTCACAGTTAACTACTTTGCGGGGGTGTTGTTGTAAATGACACTGGGGGATGGCGTTCCAATGATTGCAGCATTTAATCAATCTCAAAACCGTGCCACTGCCGCAGCGCGCGAATTTTGCAGCATAATGCTCCCGCGTCTTCTCCCCACTATCCCGTGCTTGTTCTCGCATGTCCGCCTGCTAAACACGTCTCGCCGAAATCCCATCCGTTTCCTATTTGGAGTCCTTGTTGGGGTTCCCACATGTACAACATCTTGTTTGAAGCTTTTGGGGTGCATCTTTGCCCTCCGCCGACCAAATCAACCGTCCATCCCTCCATCTACCCATCATTCCACAAATCAGGTTGAATCAAATCCCATCGAGGTAAACATGACAAAATGCTTACGAAGCAATCCGCCTGCAGCCTACATAAATCAAGTTGTCCAAACATCTTTCGGTTAAACACCTGCAAACCCAAGCACGAGCCGTGGATGCGTTGGGTGGGCCAGGCCACAGCGGCAACAGTGACCTCCACGTTTCTGAAACCCTGCGCTACACACTATGAGGAGTCATGTCAAGCATATCCTCCCAGATGGCTTTGTCCGGATCGAACACCATCTCCTGCATGGTTGGAAGACTCGTGCAACAACAACAACAACAGCAATAATAGCATCAGCAGCAGCAACAACAGCAACAGAACCGGCACCGGCACCAAATGGCACCAGCACCCGCGCAACCACCACCACCACCACCACCACCACCACCACCACCACCACCACCACCAACAAGGAAGGCGTTGCGTCTGCCGCCACGCGGGGTGTGTCGTTTATGTTTGGGAGGGTTTTTGGCCAAAAAGTAGAAAGCCCCGTGTATTGTGTGGTTTTCATCAACAAGACGATGTATCGGAGTTTAAATTTCTGTAGTTCTTTGTCTTGTGATGTCGGTCTGGTTATTGCGGACGTGTCGCAAGTACCATCTTTTTCGTGTTTGATTTATGTTGATTTTCAGGCTCATTTTGGAAGTTTTTGTCTGGAAAGCTTCAAAACCGCAAGGTTGTTTTTCATGGTGGACGTTTCCAAAGTGAAGCAAAAAGAAACGGCAAGCACGGGTTG